TATCCCTGCAGTGCCCAACCGCAGTTGAGGGGGGGCAGGGAAACATTACACTTCTTGTGCAATAACGGCTTTAGGGTGGGGATGCTCGAAGTAAATATTTTTTTTTCTTTATGGCTGCGGGTTTAGGGTATAGGGTGCAGGGTTGAGGGTTTAGAGTATAGCTTAGATTCGGCGCTGAGAGCTTTAAACGCAGGGGAGTTTGGAGCCCCTAAACCCTAAACCCTCCAACAAGATGGATCGAGCCACATGATGATGCCAATCCGGCCAGATTTAGCCGCAAGCCCTAAACTGGGTTGAGTTAAGGAACTTAAATAAAATTGCTATAATGGCGAAACCTTATTATCTACTATATATTCCCATTGTAGTAACTTAAATTAAGTTCCTTAACAACAACCAAGTAAACTCTAAACCCTAGACCCTCTTCAGAAGCCGAACAGCTCAAATCAGAGCCTTGCGCTCAAGAACACCTCATCTAATGCCCATGTACCGCATAACCGGGCCTCTTGAAGGGAATATAGGGGAAATAATAAATATACATATATATATATATATATGTGGGTATCTAGGGATGCATAGAATTTAGGGTCCCTGTGCTCAATCATTGGGTGCCTGGGGCTTTGGTACGCGTACCTCGTTTTCCTGCTGGCTTTTCAACAATCATATGGCTGTTAGGTACTTGGACATTGCTTGGTCAACCTGAAAGCTGAACAACCCTAAACCCTATAGTCCCCCTTTAGTAGATAGAATACAGGATATATAGAGTTTAGGGTTCAGGGTTTAGGGTATAGTTCCCCTTTAGTAGATAGAATATAGGATATATAAAGTTTAGGGTTCAGGGTTTAGGGTATAGTTCCCCTTTAGTAGATAGAATATGGGATATATAAGGATCTTATTATAATATACCCAAAGCCATATTCTATCTACTTAAGGGGGGACTATAGACCCTTTCCTAAACGTCATGCTGAACATGGGTAGAGCATGGATGTACTTGGAGGGTCAGGGGGACTTAATAAGTAGGTTAATAAATGGGGATCATGTGGGGTTATTATATAACTCATAACTAGGGGAAACAGTATACCATGAAGTCCCGCTGACCCTCCAAGGATTGTCACTTGTTCAAACAACCTTTCAAGCGTCGGTGAGCTTGGCCAGATCAAGATGTTATCTGGATAGTACTTCCAGTAAGAGAGAGCGATACTTCATGCGCGGCCACTTGGACCGCGGGGGCTGCGGGGATTGGGGATGCTTGTGCGCATACCACTTGCCACCGAGGTGGTACACTACTAAACGCGTGTGATCAATAGTGTCAAGGGTTACGACTCTTCAAATGTCGTCCTACCTCCTCTTCTCCGAAATGCCCGCTACGTAACCTTAGATTGGAAGGGAGGATGCGTTATAACCAAGGTTTGGGGAGAGGTTTAGGGGTTTAGGGCTTCAGAGTCTGTAGTCCCAATGTATCCCCAGGGTCCCTAAGGGGCACCTAATTTCAGAAACTTCCTTCTGAGTAGAGTTTCTTGTTAGCTGAAGCTAGTACATTTTATCTTCTTTGAATAAACAGCTGGGTTGTGGGCTTAGGGTTTAAACGCTAGACCCAAAGGAGGACGGAATCTTACTACTTTGCTTGGGGCTATACATGTGCAAGTAATGCACTAAACTACAGTATGTTTTTTTAATGGGTGGGGGGGGGGGGGGTGGTCCCTAAAAGAAGTGAATTTTCATGGTTATATAAGGGGTAGGGGTTAAGCGTAACAAAAAATCTGTTCAGACCTTCCCCCCGTAACCCCTAAACCCTGGTAATGATAATAACGACCCTATATACACCATAAACCCTAATCCCTACACCCGTAATCCCTAAAACCTAAACCATAAGCCCTGTTGAATGACCTATCCAAAGCCATGGCCTGCGCTGGTGCGGCAAAGACAGCGCCTTGAGGCGGCATTGTCCCAATGGTTTGGGGAGCCGCCTGCACAGGGTTTTAGTGCTTGGGGTTTTTAGGGCTTAGGCTTCATAGTTTAGAGTTGGCTAGTTGCCTGCAGTTTTAGGGTTATACCTACAAATTACGTGATATCTACTGTCATGCTGTGGTCCATGTTGCTGAAAGTGGCTTGCGGCCGTACTCTCATCAGTCTAGGGTTTGGGACTAAGGGCTGCAGGGTTGGGCCTCAGGGCTAGGGTCATCATTACTAGCATGATTATTACTAGTTATATTTGTCCACTTATTATTGTCATTTGAGTCACCAATATCAGTATTATGGAAACGTGCGATCATGCCATCAGGGCGGTTTGCTTCCGGTCTTGAAGGCTGTGGGGAGGGCGGGGTGCCTTTCAAAGGTTGAATGAGACGCTAACGTTGAGTTCGCATTAGCCAGGGGGGGCCCTTCGGGAGGGAGGGGGGGGGAACTTGCGCGCCCCACAAAACTCTGGGTGGCGAGAGACCTGGGCTACCAAGCCCAGACGGCACTGATGTGAGTATAAAACTACCACCCAAATTTGTTTGTGGGCTTCACCCCTTCACTAGACTGAAGAGGAATCCTGTGTTTGGGGGGTCTTGCACCCTAATCAGGACCCCACAGCAGTCAATTACAGCTTGCAATTCACACCACCCACACCTGATATTCAGATTCTGGATAAGACATCTTGTATGTGTTTACGATGACATTGTCTTATCATCAAAGTTCCAGTTGCGTTGTCCATGCTAATTTCCATTTGATCCCGCACTATTGAAGGATAATATCTTAAAACCCGATATAATCCTCACATAATCAATATATAAACCCCTGTAGATTAAAGAGACCATGCTGAAGGCATGCCAGGGTGTGTCATTGCGCCTCAGCAGGGGCCGTGATTGGTGGCAGGTACACAGGCTCTCCGATGGTAGTCGTCGTCGGGACGGCCTGTTGAAAAGAGGGAAAGGCGACATTCAGCTTACCGAGTCCACTCAAACATGGCTTCGTTGTAGAACGCGAGCGAAACGCTTTGCGACATCATTTTGACAAAGGGATGAGGGAGCAACTTGCGAAGAGTGGAAACTTAGCAGAAACTATGAACATGTGCTGCTTGCGTGACTGACTACTTCTCAGAACTCCGCAGCTTGCCTATCCCAATAGCTCTTTTGAACATCTCAAACGAAGCACCTGCGCTAAACAAACATGCAGCAATCTCTCTTGATCGAAGCCCCAAACCCTATGTATCCCCATATACCTTCATGCCACCCGCATGCACAGGCTTTAACCCAGCTTGAAATTACCCATGAGCATCCAAGCAAACCCTGGGAGCCTGTGCTGGTGCAGCGAAGACAGCGCCCGTTGCAGCCACGCTGCTCACAGTCTGGGAAGGGGCCTGTTTCAAGTCACAGAAAAAACCCTAAACGAAACCTTAAAACCTTGCTTCAACCCACAAATGGAGCCCAAACTACTCCCCAAAACCTGCTTCAATACAAGAATTATGGTACTCAAGGATCTTAGAGTCCTAGTCCCCCTTAAGTAGATAGAATATGGTTTTGGGTATATTATATAATGGGATCCCCATATAACCCATATTCTATCTACTTAAGGGGGACTATACACAGGCTGGGGAGATTTGGCTTGCCAGGGGCCTCAGGTTGACTTTGATTGTGGATTTTTGAAGTTAATCCTTTACTGTTCATGCAAACAGTCTTCGCAGCTGATACCTTGAGAATTCTAGGTTTCTAGTATACTAAACCCTAAACCCCTAAACCCTAAACCTTAGTATACTACAGCCATGCAAGGCTTTGGTCTCGCCAGCAGTATCCCCAAGCAACTGGGGACGTTTGCAGGCTTGCAACGTTGTGGGGTTGCGAGGGCGGCTCCCGCAAGCTACTTGAGGAATGTGTCTCTCCTTATGTGGGGCTAGATGGGCGGCTGAACCCTAAACCCCAAAAAGGTGTGCAGTGTTACACCTGGTAGAACCACTCTGAACGCTCTAAACTCTAAATCATGTAGTAGCTTTCATCTTTCTTCCGCTCAACCCTAGATCCCTATAGCTGTCTTCTGCTAGGAGTCCTAGTCCCGGAGGGGTGGGGCTTTAATGCCTCTGAAAACCCTACACTTGAGCACCTGGATGCCCGGGGTTTTGCATGGTGCTGAGCCTGGTCTATTTCAATCAGATTTAACCTCCCAGCAGCTTTGCCAAGATGGTCGAGACCAAACTGAGACTCAGGAAGCAGACCGCGGTTCCGTATCAACGTGGCAAGGTAGGTGCCCAAACCCCACCTCTCACCGCGAACTATTTGCAAGACCAAACAAACTTGAACTCCGGACGCTCTGAAGACCTATGCCGAGAAGCAAAAGACCAGGTCGTTACTAGGCCCCCGGATCTTAGTCTGAAGACCAATACAAAACATGGTTCTCTTTGTCTTCTTGGGTTTGCTATAACAACAGCTTCACAGCAGTGTCCACAATAATCTGGACTCATTCCCTTTTGTCAAAACTTCATGCGCCGAACCCTATGCCAACCTCCAACCTTGCGCCGAGGACTGGAACTGATGCTAGGAAGATGTTCCAACCAAAGGGGACGGCAAAGGCATTCAAGGTGTGTGCGCGTGTGTATTTATACATAAATATATATATATGTATATAGGCCATGGCTTCTATCTATTTATCTATCTAGAACCACATATGTATACTTCTACTCATACCTGGCTGTCCATGAAAGCCCAGCATTGTCGGCCTCCCCCCCCTCACCCTTCGGCTTCATGCCCCTTTGCAACGGCCTGTTGTTACATACCTTTGTCGCGAATGCATGGTACACGTATGCCCCAGCAAAAAACCTTGCTGCAAAGTGCTTGTCGCTAGACGGTATTCACTGACGAGATGGGCATTGCAGGCGTCAGTCTCAAGACCTCTGTAGGGAGCGAAAGGCTGTAACCAAGCCTGACTTGCGCTTAAGCTGTAGCAGGTGGTACCCGTGTACTGACTTGTTGTTAAGGAACTTCAAGTAAGTTGCCATAACAATATGAGTAATGTGGCACCCGATTTAATGG